GTAACATACGCCCACTGATAGAATGATTGTAAGTACAAGTCTTTGTTTGCTGCCCATTCAATTGTAGACTGTAGAGTGAGCACGAGTTGCACAATATAGCTAATGGAGTTAAACGTCAAGTCAGACACGATATTTCGGTGAAATATTATCCGATCATCACGAAAATCGATGGGAATCATCTTCATAATGACATTGACACACAAAATAAAAATCAAAGATTCTGTACAGAATTGTAGCCTGTAGAATGAGCACAAACCAAATGTGAACAGACTGAAAGACGGAGGGACGGACGGACAGGGTAATTACAATATACGCCCATCTTATGTGTGGGCGTATAAAAAGGAAAAGTCAAACTGTGCATCTGAGCATGGAATAAGAAAGTTTATACTTTAGTTCAAGGAACTCTCAAAATAAAAGGATTGTAAAGAGGTTTTCTAAATTTTGTATGTGTATAAGGGACACTGATTGCTTCAATTTGCACCATTTCAATTTTCATTCTGACTTGTTTGGTCTCTGCAATTCCTCTAAAACTAAGGCGTTTTATGACGTCACTAGAGGGGGCTACCGGAAACTACTATCAATATCTATGCAGTTCCCCTCTAGTGACCTCATAACAATATACGTCATATGCAATCCCTTTAATACATCAAAAATTGCAAGTTTAATGGAAAAATAAAATGTCACTACTTCTAAGAGACAGAATCTTCCTGTTTTTGCTATGAGTCAGAGTCAGGGACTATATACTGTGAAATATACTGATTGGGTCCCATACCATTGAAATGATCATTGTTTATCCATGTCCAGGGTAAGCAGCAAGACAACAGCTCCAGTCATCTTAACGACTAGATCCGAATGATACTCCTTTGCTATAACAGTACAGAATTGATGAAATCCTAAAAAACAAAGTCAACTTACCTTTGGTAAATGTCTTCGAGTTAAAATTCCATCAGAAACTTTTAAATGTTTGAGATTTTTATAATCTTTAGATACTGATTTTAGTTTTTTAACAGGGGGTTCATCATTCTCTGATTCTTCATCAGTTAAACTTGTCTCCATTAGACGCTTCTTATTCTCTTTCTCTGGGGAGACGTTGTTGGCATAGCTTGACAGTTCTACAGAGCCAGGTATTTTCAAGACCTTCACTTGTTGAGGAGTAGAACACGATGTAAGAAGTGATAAACCCATACCAGGTTTGAAATTGTCATTATTAAAAGAGACACAGTTGGAATGGTGGCTGGTTTGAAATAACTGAGATTCTCTTTTCTCCTTCACCAGTTTTGTTAATTTCTGTTGTAAATTGTAGTTTCTGAAAGCTGCAATAAAAATGTACATCTTATTTGCCATTTCTACGGCTTCATTGACTAGAGCTATTCTGATGCTGTTGCTGACATGACATGTGTTTTAGATAATCAATCCTCATCAGGGCAACTTTAATGACAGCTTATCATAAATTCATATTTCTAAGGATCTAACTGACCAGAGCTCATATCTAGCTGAAGACAAGTTTCATTTAAACAATCCTCATTATTAGAAATGGAGATTAAATGGATTGTAAAGAGGTTTTCTAAATTTTTTATGTGTATCTGGGACACTTATAGCATCAATTCATCCTGTTCAAATTTTCAATCAGACGTCTGCGGTTCCTGCAATTCCACTAAAACTCAGCGTCTTATCTGATAAAGCATATATTGCGATAAGTGTCGTCATGAAACACTAAGTTTTAATGAAATTTCAGGAACCACAGACGTCTAATTGAAATTTGGAGTAGTGCAAATTGAAGCTATCAATGTCCCTGATACACATAAAATTTAGAAAAAAACTTAGAGTATAAAGTTTAGTATGGACCCATCTTGATACTGAAAAAAAACCAGAAAATCACCAGACCTCTTTGTATCATACCAGCAGCAATGTTCCTGATCTTTCTTCTACGACGTTTTCTATAGTTCACCCAACACTTCCAGATTTTCCTGGCACAGAATGTCCGATGCCATCGAGATTTGATCAGGAATCGTCTGATCGCCCATTGTAAAACTATGATATGTTTAGTTAAGATCTCGGCTCGTACTGACTCTAACTTCACTAACTGTGGAAACAAAAAATTTAAAGTATGAAATAATTCAACGAAAACCAAAAACACATGACACTTGAAAACATCGTTGCAGAACCAGCAAATACACTACACGTTCATTTCAGATGGGCATTGCCAATCATGCTGAGATATACAGGGTTCATACAGCACTTTGCCTCAAAAATTCAAAGACTTTTCAAGGACTCTGGGCTTTGAAATTCAAGGACTTTTTAAGGATATTAGTCTGACAGAATACACATGTACCTTACTTCTGAACTGTGAAATCAATAAAGATAGTTAATATTTCTCAATGGGGTAAATGATAAAAATATACACAATTTGACTCAACTCAAAATTTAAGGACTTTTCAAGAGGAAATGGGTTTTTTATGGTGTTTTCAAAGCCTTTTTTTGAAATCAAGGTTTTTTCAAGGCAACAGACGGAATTCAAGGGTTTTTCAAGGCTGTGCGAACGCTGGATATATATATTCACCTGTGATTGTTTCAAGAAAAGTTTAGTTTTACCAAACTGTTTAGTAAATTGAGACATTTCCGTCAAACCAAATACATTTCTTAAAACTGCAGCACAACATTTCCTTGCATGGTCTCCTGGTGATAAACCTAAAACAGAAAGATGAAATGGTGTTATATCTTTTACTTTCTGTACCTGTTTGGGCTGTTTAACCTAAATACAGTCAGAACAATGCCATCTTTTTCGGTTTTCCGTCATGGGATCTTGAGCAAATTATGGCATCTAAAAGAATATCTGACGCTTTTTCCAGATCATTCCCTTGACCTGATATTTCAACTGTCCAGAGATTATTAACGTGCACAGCAAAGTTTATTGTCCCCTCCGAAAAACTAGAAGCTTTTTCCATGTTAGCCCTTCCCACTTGCATCACTGACAGGGGGAACCCGGGTTGAAAAATCCGAAAGTATTATCTAGATCTATGACGGTATTGAACTCTGGACCTTCAGGGGGAAACAGGGTTGAAAAACATTATCTTGAGGAATTAACCACGGAACTTCAGGATAGTAAGCTAGCATCAAATTCACTGATGTGGAATCGCACAATATCAGATATATTCTAAATTATTTTTAACAGCCCTCTTTGAGCAACATTTCCAAATTTTATCTCTCGAAAATAAATGGATCCGTATCAATCCACATTTATTCCTGAAGCAAACTACTCTAAACAGCCTACCTGTTCTTCTACGTAATCTTTTTTTAGGAGTAGGAGTTCGTTTCGGAGCGTCTGGTAAATCAAGTTGACGTTTTAATAAAGCATCAAGAGGGTCTAGAAAGTTATAATCTGTCTCGTGACCTGAAGAATCAGTAGAACTCTGTTCGAGACTCTGTATACCTTCTGGTATCATCATACCATATCTCTTTAAAAACTCCATATACTCTACTCTGTAATATAAATAGATACATTAATACTAATACTAATACATTGTTCTGTAATATAAATAGATACATTAATACTAATACTAATACATTGTTCTGTAATATAAATAGATACATTAATACTAATACATTGTTCTGTAATATAAATAGATACTAATACTAATACATTGTTCTGTAATATAAATAGATACATTAATACTAATTGTTCTGTAATATAAATAGATACATTAATACTAATACTAATACATTGTTCTGTAATATAAATAGATACATTAATACTAATACATTGTTCTGTAATATAAATAGATACTAATACTAATACATTGTTCTGTAATATAAATAGATACTAATACATTGTTCTGTAATATAAATAGATACATTAATACTAATACATTGTTCTGTAATATAAATAGATACATTAATACTAATACATTGTTCTGTAATATAAATAGATACATTAATACTAATACATTGTTCTGTAATATAAATAGATACTAATACTAATACATTGTTCTGTAATATAAATAGATACTAATACTAATACATTGTTCTGTAATATAAATAGATACATTAATACTAATACATTGTTCTGTAATATAAATAGATACATTAATACTAATACTAATACATTGTTCTGTAATATAAATAGATACTAATACTAATACATTGTTCTGTAATATAAATAGATACATTAATACTAAGACATTGTTCTGTAATATAAATAGATACATTAATACTAATACTAATACATTGTTCTGTAATATAAATAGATACTAATACATTGTTCATAAGACATATAGAAATAGATAATATAACAAGACTAACAATATATATTGTTTGTCTTGTTATATTATTCACTTCTCTTGATAACACTGTCTGTATGAACATGTGAAACGTTGAGTTAATAAATGTCAGAAATAGTATATCTATATATCTAGTGATTCTATATAATATTTGATAACACTGTCTGTATGAACATGTGAAACGTTGAGTTAATAAATATCAGAAATAGTATATCTATATATCTTGTGCTTCTTTAGATATTAATACATTGTTCTACTTATTGTCCTTCATTTTAACACATAAATTGGCACATTTATTTAGATCTCCCTGAGACAGTAGGCCCTTGTTTCTCAAACTGTGGGACTAGTGATAAAAGTACCTCTTACAGCTGGGTCGACTGGAAAACTAGAACTAGACTAGTGGTAGTATTAGCTTGAGATATTAGCAAACAACTCTCAGACAATTTACTAACATTACTTTATAAAACTTTACCTTTGTCAATTCACAAATGATTAAGAATTACATTTATCAAATAAATCAAGGAGTACCAAGAGATTGTGTATAAAAGTAATGGTAACAGCTTCTCCGTTATTGGCCTGTTTTAAATCATGTGACATTATGAATATCTATAGAGTCAGTCGCAAACAAGCTTTACCTGCTTACATGAGGCAAGGTAGAAATATGTCAGTTTGGGACTTGTTTAAGAGATGATTGGGGTACATTAAGGTTGTGGACCAAGCATGTTAATATATTAAGACAAACCTAGAAGAATAACCCTGTTTACAGATCTCTACAGTCTCTATAATACCACTAGCTCTCAGTTGTTGTATAACATATCTTCTATCAAATATTCCTGCTAAGTTACTAGAGTTAGGTTTAATACATCTTATATAGTGGACATCAGATTGTTGTAGAGTAGACATCAACTCATCTAGAGAACTCTGAAATAGACATCAAGTAAGTTTGGTTTGCTGTACATGGAAAGTGCATGACAATCAAGAACTGTGTGTATTGTTTTATAGATATTAATTGTTGAAGATTACCACTAAATGGATACAACTGAATGTAACAATGGTAGAAGCTCATGAATATTTAAAATGCAACTTATTCTTCTGACTTAGTCTCAACAAACTTCTATTTGTTCTTCGTTTTCTTTAATTTTGGCATGAAACTGGGTGAAAAGACAATCCAAGAGAAAGTCATACCTTAAACTTAGAGAGAACAGTTTTCTTCTTCTTGCCAGGAGAGTCCATCAGTTGGTAATTAGAGAATAATTCCAGTATATAATTATTGCTACTAGTTTTTAGTAATCTGATTAGTTCCACTGGTATATTATCCTAAAAATATTAATAATAAATAAACCAAGTACTAACAATCTGAACTTTAAAATGATACCCGAAATCCAAAATAACAGTTTGGCGAAAACATTTGTAGCAAATAATGAACTTTTCACATGAGGAATAAGGTAAGTATTTCATAAAATAAACCTTAGGAATCCAGGTGATATTTACCAAATATATGTGCATAGGAGAATAAGAACTGTACTGGGGATATTTGTGTAAATCTAAGCATACAAAGGGTGTAGCTAGTAGGTGTATTAAAAATGTTTCAGGCAAATACAGCTGATCAGAGCACTGTCCAGAACTCTGATTGGTTGTATTCATTAATGTACAATTCCAATCAAATCGATATATTTAAAAACTTTTGAGATAGAAGAATATTGACTAATTGCAGTCAAGGTATAAGAAAATGATTTGACATATACTGAGGTCTGTATTTAATAAGTTGTTTTCAGTACCTTATTTTTATTGACAAGCTGGTCTACAGAGTATCTGACCTCTCCTGCATAATGCTGAACAACAAAACTAGGATCAGAGGAGAATTTACTAGGTTTCTTTATAACAGGTGCTTGTTTATTACCACCAATATCTAATATACGTTCTGTTAGTATCTTTATATTACACTTCCTATTTAAATATACTTCCTAGAAAATAAAATATATAAGCTGTCATAAAATCTATGAACAATAAGTGGCTAGTAACCAGCGTCTGGTTTCTCACAATGCCATAGGGTTTGTTCATACTGAGAGCAGAGCGGGGCAGGATTTAACTAAAGATTAATGCTGCTACTTACCACTCTGCTCTGGCCGTCCTGCTCTGCATGTAGAGTGAACAAATGCTTATGAACAAGTTCTTTGTAAGTTTGGTTTTTCTCAATATAAAATTCAAAACCATTTTTAAGGCTGCATCCTTAGTATGAATGGAATAGGGCCAGGGCTGCATCAATGAAGTTTTCATAGTAAAGACATAAAAAAGTTCATGAAATATGAAAAAATGTTGTCATACCTCATTGAGAAGACCGAAGATACTATGTGTACCCTCTAGAGTATCTAAACAATGTTGATTATCAGTATAGTTTATATTACTCCATTCTATTCTTTCTATCTCATATTCTTTCTGAAAACAACAGTTTATTACATTGTATAACATTGGTCAGAACCTGATTAAATAGGCAACACTATGAAGTGTGCAATGAAAGTAATTTGAAGCACACATGAACATGTTTTATCTTTCAATCTGAATGGTTGTTTATCTAATGTAGATAGGCAATGCCATGAAGTGTGCAATGTATTCACATTGAATTGGGAACTAGTTAATATTTGGATTGGTGTTTTTCTGTACCATAGTTTTAATCATAGAAAATATTGAAGATAGTATAATGAGATCAAAGCCTTCAACCGTGTTTCCCAATGTCATAAAACTGATTTTGATTGTAAAACCTTTGACCATTTAGATGACTGAAGCACTAAAAATTCTCACATTAAATTCCATAAACTCAGCCCATTGGACCTCTAGAAGTAGATTAACAAGGGATTCACTCAATCAGCTAAACACTTGTGACGAGTTACACAAAATATACAATCAAAACTGAGACTTATTTGTTATTTCTTCCAAGAGTATTTTAACAAGATTTGAGACAAGAGGTTTAAAAAGATGCTAAAATACCTGTAAATCTTTCATAAAATGTGAAACATAAAGTTGTTGTATTTTTTCATTGGCGTAATTAATACACAGTTGTTCTAGACTGTTACTTTCAAATATTTCAAAACCATATATATCTAACAAACCTAGAGATATAATAAACATTGTTTAATGCTATATATATCTAACAAACCTAGAGATATAATAAATAAAAACAGGTGATAAATAATAAATAAAAACAAGTGATAAATAATAATAAAAACAAGTGATAAATAATAATAAAAACAGGTGATAAATAATAAAAAAAATCAAGTGATAAATAATAATAAAAACAAGTGATAAATAATAATAAAAACAAGTGATAAATAATAATAAAAACAAGTGATAAATAATGATAAAAACAGGTGATAAATAATAATAAAAACAGGTGATAAATAATAAAAAAATCAAGTGATAAATAATAATAAAAACAGGTAATAAATAATAATAAAAACAAGAGATAAATAATAATAAAAACAAGTGATAAATAATGATAAAAACAGGTGATAAATAATAATAAAAACAGGTTATAAATAATAAATAAAAACAAGTGATAAATAATAATAAAAACAAGTGATAAATAATAATAAAAACAGGTGATAAATAATGATAAAAACAGGTGATAAATAATAATAAAAACAAGTGATAAATAATAAATAAAAACAAGTGATAAATAATAAAAAATTAACAGTAAAGCAAAAGTAAAATCAATGATCAATTGTGTTTGATACAAACGTTCAAATCATATATTATATGTTATATTATGTGTTTAATATTGTATTAAAGAAGTGTGTTTTATTATATAATATTGTCTTGTGTTTGTGATATCTACTCCTCACTTCTATATATGGTGTTAGTCTTATAAATAATCTATAATATTCAGGTAGGTAATACAATAAGAGATACCATGTGTATTTTGTTACAGGAAAATTTATAAATGAATACATGACTATTTCCCTCAGATTAAGAGAAGTATATCTTACCTATAGTACTGTAAAACTCTTCAGATTCTATAACATTATTTATATAACTAACAATCCACTCAAATAATCTACAATTAATAGACAATACATTAAATAAATAAGAACACTATTATGGATAAACAACTCCTAATGTCATTTAACGATTATTAACAATATATGTATATCAATTAATAGTGTAAATACACTTCAATGGTCTGTTTTAAGTAGAATTGCAGAAGAGTCTTTCATGAAATTTCAAATCTGATAAAGGTGTGGGCACACAAGTGGTCTTGGTTGGAGATTTTTGTTGCTGATTATTAAGTTTTGATTAAAATCATCATTATCCAATCAGATTCATTTTCCTTTCAAGTGCATGCCCTGCAAGTGATTATAGACAAGGTGTAAACCGACCAGCTAAAGATTTTTGTCTCCTCGTGTGCCGGTGCAAGTTGGCAAAACTTCTTACAAGACTTAAGTCAGCAACAAACCAAGACTGCTTGTGTACCCACACCTTAAGTGATCAAGTATCTAATTTGAGCTGTATAGGCTAATAAAGGATAATTTAACAAAATTAATCCCTTATGAATTTTTATTAGAAGGTAACATCTTTCTGTAAATAAATATAGGCAGAAGGTCTTAGATACAACTTACCTTGAAAATAACAACATCGCTAGACAGTCTCGTCTAGTTTTAGCTTCTACTATAGATACAGGTTTAATAAATACACTACGTCGTTTACTGGACTGGATATTACGATATAAAAATACTTTCTCTAAATCATCACTATACTCTATACCTAATAGACTAGCTGCTTGATCCATCGCTGTTAGACTCACTGTAATATATAATATAATATATAAACTTATGGTAGAGAAAGCACTCCTAATAATACCAAAACTGTACTTATTTTAGACTCACTGTAATACTGAAAATATAAACTATTTGACCTAATATCAAATATACAATACGTAGACAAAGATATGTGGACTCTCTGAAAGGGACAAAGACAGTAGCAGAGTGGCACCCGATGTAATGGAATAGTAAGCATGCCCTGCTTTTACTAAGAACACACGCAACAATTTTACATTTCTAAACATCAAGAGTATAAACCATTGAAAAATGTCATAAATTTCTCATAATAGATTTAAAAATACTGAAATATTTCACGAATTACAAATCTGAAGACAGTTAAAATCATATTACATTTTAAAAAAAGAAAATGAAACAATTGTAAACAAATCATTCAAAAAGGACAAAAACCACAACAAAATCACTTCCTGTGATAAAATAACAGAACACATATTGAATATTTATACCTGAGATATCTATATATGACTTCTCTGATAATCTTGTATTATCTACAGTTTCATAATATCAGAAGTTATATTTTAGATAGACATAGTTCCAGAGAAACATACTGGACTTATAAACACATCCATTCAATAATTGGTCTGAGAGAATAGTTTCAAAAATGTAGAAAAGCAAGAACCAAGTTTATTAACAACATAGTTTCTATTGACCAAGCCCACACAATTACTAGGTGTTTTATTGTATGATGTTAAGTTATGAAACCGGGAAAGTCCACAGGTGAATAAGTATATACTCCTATTGGAGATATTTTTTAATTTGAATTTTATGTTCATTCTAAGTGGCAGAATACCTTTAATTATGTCAATTTAATTTATTCCAGATTAATCTTATCAAAATAGTATTAGTAGTAAAAAAAATATTACAGAACTTACCTAAATTACACGACATGTTAGTACTATCATCATCACTAGGAGTAAAATCTACATTACCAAGATATAGTATAGCTTTTAACAACTGAAAAAATAACACGGAAAATTCCAATTTATAGTCAAATATTCTATAGAAAAAATACACTAAAATTTGTCAGTTTGAGGCCCTACCATTATTTAAGATTGAACTCCTCCTTCATTCATCTTTTGAAAACCAAGCCCAATAGATTTTTTGATGGAATCAAATGAAATTCGGTATGTGTATACATATTCATAAAACGAAGATCAAGTTCGAATTTGAGCTATTTTCGACCGTTAGAAGCAGAGTTATTGCCCTTGCCCAAAATCTTGAATATGCTATAACTAACTCTCTTAGTTTTCAACTGATTTTGATGAAACTTAAAATGGATGTTTCATTTTAACCATCAACATGCCGTGGTGGGCGTATATGGCTGTGGTCCACTATTTTTAAGGTCTTTAAGGACACAATTAACCCTAATTAATGACAGGACACCGTGTTATATACAAGAGTAAAAAATTCTATTGAAACGTATGAAATGACACTGAGTGATGTCCAAGACTAAAGACTCAATCTACAGGTAAAACAGAAGATATAGTATATAATTAGATTACCTGAAAGATGTTAGTTTGTTGTGTTTGTGTCATACCAATATCTGTCATAGCTGTGATAGTTTCTAATATCTTCCCATGTTCACTTATAACTACAAATATTCAATGAATTTACAGTTCAATTTAACCACAGCACTAATGAGTTAAAGCATAAAAAAATTGACACCCATCTAAAAAATTTCCAAGAGTATTTTTACTTCTTAGACATCCATTCTAAGTTGAAGAGGTCAACACATGATTCATCACCAGACAGACATGATTTATTATTTATTTATTTAAAGTTTTTGAGAATAAGGCCACAGTTTATTGTTTCTCAAACCATGAGTACCACCCAGTCTGTTCTTGGCAGATTCACTATAAGATTTATACACAATAAAGATCCTACCTGTATTATTATATGGTATAGTTTTAAATATAACATCTGATATCTCTGACTGGAGATCTATCAACCATTCTGGTATATTACTGGTATCTTTCAACAACTACAAACATAAAAATCATTATTAACTTTTTAATATTCATGAATCTCAACTGTCTATATACAGCCCTCAAGACTTAAGGCATTCTAAATTGGTTACCTAAATTCTTTATGAGTACATGTGAAGCTGATAGATTCTAATTTTCAGTGGTGTGGTTTTGGAAATTCCACTCAAACGAATATTTTTTTGAAGTCTTTATTGCAAAGGTCCTTATGTTGCCCTCACACCATAGTGATCATCAGTTGTCTTCGGGTGTGAATAATAACAGTAGTTATAAGTTTCGAACACAATTCTCATGTAACTGAGATGTTAGTTGCTTCAAAACTCATTCACAACAAAATGTAACTGGTAATCACTATGGTGTGAAGCTGTTAAAAAAGACGCCCTCATATGATTGGAAATTCCACTCAAACGAATATTTTTTTGAAGTCTTTATTGCAAAGGTCCTTATGTTGCCCTCACACCATAGTGATTACTAGTTTCCTATTGGTGTCAACAAGAACATCAGTTATAAGTTTAGAACACAATTCTCATGTAACTGAGTTGTTAGTTGCTTCAAAACTCATGTCCCCTTTTATTATTCACAACCAAACATCACTGTTAATTGTTATGGTGTGAGCACCTATAGATATGTTTAGCTTCTTTTTTTTAACCAATAAATTTTATATTTCATGCAATGACAACAAACTTTAAAATTGTTCAACAATTGGATGGATGGATCTGTTTTACCTGATAAAAGATATGAAAATTACACTCTCCACTATTCTGATGAACTATTCTAGTTTTCTCTAGTAAATATGTCTGTATAGAACCTCCCTGAATCACTCCACATCTATTAAACTGTAGTTGTATAAATTTACCAAATCTAGAACTGTTGGAATTTCTAGGAGTTGCAGCATTACCTGTTATCATAAACAAATATATAGATACATACATGATTAGTCTTAATATTGCAATTTTCATTCTGCATTTCAGTCTTTCCAATTTCTGTTTGAAGTGACCATTATCCAACACTATTTAAGTGGTGAACTATGCTATGCTAAATATTTGAAAGATTTTCTGTATCATAATGTAGAATGATGATGAGTATAAATGGTTGTTTAACTTTTAACTAATTTTTTCAACAAAATACGCTACATAAGAAAGGTCTATAAATTTATAACTTACCAAATGCCTCTAGTATAGGATTAGAATCTAGTATTTTATTCTGGATTATGTCCCCTGTTTTAGTTTTATTATTGATTGATTCAACATTAGAAACTTTAGTTAAATACCGTAATAGATGCTTGGCTGACACAGTCTGAAATTACAAATAATACATTGGTTATAACATTACATTGATATTGTAAGGCCAATTAAACTTAAGCATGCGCATATTGAATTTCCTATTAAAAAACCTCTTTGAAATGAGATACAACATTCACACTGGAGATAAACCAGTAAAGATAGACGTCTTCTATAAAAAGGTATATTTGAACTACAAATTTTCTTATTTCTAATCAGATCTCAAGTGATATAGATAACTGAAATTGGGTTGTATCAGCTGGTAAAACAATTATCAAGCCAACAGTATATCTTTAAGACAAACAGGAAGAATTACTTTAAATTGATATCATGATCAGGTTACTGACCTTACCAGCTCCACTTTCACCACTAACTATAATACACTGATTGATCCGTCCTAACTCTAGTATAATATTATTATAACATCTCTCACTGATTTCATAGATATGAGGTTGTTTGCCCTGAAATTGGAAGAAATATGAGACAATAGGAATAAAATGAAGATTTCAGTGTCACATTTTGAGTTTTATTTACATAGCTTACAACAGGCCATATAATAAAGTTTTGGTAAGAATGTGAAAATCTAGATATCTGTTATATGTCATATTTCCTCAATCCTCAATCGTCCAGCAGGACAAGGTTTGGACTGGGGCTTGCTTGTGGTAAATATCATCATCATTTCAGTTTACTCAGCAATAAATGGTTCCAGATAATCTGAGAAAGATCAATGCCAAGAGGTTTAGCCAAGGACCAGCTGACAGACAGGATCCTCATAATTTCAGTTGATCCAGCTTTATGGGACAGATAATCAGAGAAATAACCTACAATAAAAGGTTTGGACATAGACTAGACAGAATCCCAATAATTCCAATCGACATGGAAAAGCCAGGAAAGATCAATGCCAAGAAGTATGGCCAAGAACCAGGGAGATCCTTGTGAAACTAAGATTTTATCCTAATCACTGCCAGGAAGTTTGATCAAGGACCAACTGGTAGAAAATTAAATGGTAAAAACTGGTCTTGTGTTTTGATCCTTACCTGAGCTACAGTATGATAAGAATGTATATTATGATCTGTATATAGATAATCTACAGCTGTAAAAGGATTTAACGCTATAATAGTTGAACCAGTTGATGTATAGAATAGATTCTTGTTATATCGACTGTTTAAACAGCACAACACTGAAATATATAACAGAATGTTAGAGATATCAGCACAACACTGAAATATACAACAGAGTGATAGAGATATCAGCACAACACTGAAATGTACAACAGAGCGTTAGAGATAACAGCACAACACTGAAATATATAACAGAGTGTTAGAGATAACAGCACGACACTGAAATTGATGCAATCAGTGTGCCTGATACACATTAGAAGACTAGTGTTTGATATTACCTGTAGCTTCATTCAATGGTGTAAGACTGGTTAATGTTTCTATCTGACCAACATTAGACTCAGATCTCAATAATATCTCTTCTTTTTTACATTTGACTACCTAAAAATAAAACTATAATAAAAATCTGTACAAGCAAGACAATTCCGTTATAAAATCTCATCAAAAGCATGGAAAAAAAAAGTAGTATAGTAGTGGACTCTGCCAAAGAGAAGAACCACCAGATGTTTCAAAAAGATTTAAGCATGGTCTGCTTTGCGCGATACCTGCCACTACTACAATGGTCAAAATCATGAGATACAACCAGTTTCAGTACCTGTTTATTAGAAGACAATATCAGTGTAACTCTATCACCCTCTATTGTCTGTATAGTTGCTGGTACCCAAACCTCTTTCTCATTGTAACAATACACAGCCTGAGTCTGGAAAACAACAGAATCATGGACAGAGAAATAACCAAGGAATTTCTGACAAAGACAACAGAAATAGTTGAGAAAAATGTAGGCAGATAGAGTAGAAAATATTGCCCTGAACTATTATAAGAGTTTATACCTTTCAAGATAAGCATGAGTTTTTTGGGGTTTTTTTCATTTATCTAAAGAAATTGCTGGATGATTTGTTTTGAATTACTATGATCATTACAAATCCATTGTCTTTTTCAATCATACAATAAGCCAGTAGAGATTGTAATAAAAATAAAACCCCTTTTAATTTACCAATTTAAAGGAGCACCTTCACTATCTATTCCAGCAATCATATCTTAGTTTCAGAAACACGAATTTTTTAAGCTTACATAATCAGTAATAGTGTTCACAGCTCATCGTCCAAATTTGAGCCTTCAAATCCATGTGTATCCAGAATTATTCATGTTTGAATGTTAAAATTCGACTCAAATTTTAGTGAGACTATGCCATATATAGAAAACACATATATAGAAATAGACAGTGAAATTTCTAGTTTGAGGTATATTTGAAGGGAATATTCGATTTTCGTGTGTTTTAGTACTATTAAAGCACAATAAAGACCTAAATCAATCCCTGAAAATGCTGACTGTTCCCATATAAATTACCACCTTATATGGATGTTGCTCACCCCTCTGACAAAACATAGGCAGTTGGAAATCAAAAAAAGAACATGCTAGTACCGCTGTCCCAGCAAAATTTCCCTCATTGCACACTGCATATTGTTGCTTTTCATCATTTCATTTCCCACAGTGTTTTTTTCCCAAAGTTCTCTTTACCCGATCAGGACATTTGAATAATAAAACAAGAATGCTTGTAGTACCTGGCTATAGACTTCTTGAGTTCCACTCGACTTAGACAACCCCTCACCACAGTTTTTGGCAGACTGTAGGTCATACTTTATCTTTCTTTTAGGTGTTTTATCCTGAAACAGATTGACAGTATAGACACATGCTACAATAAACAGATTTATTGTCGAAAGCAAAGCCAACAAAATTAAGTTTACAGTATTTCTCTTTTTTTGACAGTGAAGTATGTAATGGAAAATAATTCATAAATCTACTTGTTTGCGAAGACAATAACACTAAAATTGATACCTGACTTGACAAGTGTGCCAGTCTAAAAAAATAAATCTAAACATAGAGTTAGTTCAGTCATAATTCAGTGATTCTCACTGCAGCTGAATGGATATATGGGCTCATAACAATAACATCACTCAGTGAACTCTTGTAACTCTTGACTAAGTGCTGATCACTCACTAATGAGTGAATTCAACCATGGGTCAGTTACTAGCAATTCATCCAATGATAAAAGTGAAACCATCATGTCAATGACAATGGTCGAATGTGGAGAATGAAATCTCAATCAATTTTTTGGAATTTTTTTTATTATTTTTATGAGAATTGTAATATCAGCATCAAAATAGGTCTATTAGTCTTAGAATTTCTTTATCTTTAAGCAAAATCGTATCAACACAGATCAAAGTGCGCATTTATATAAGCGAAGCACTTACAACGATTGGCCTACAATACACATTTATTCAAGCGGGATTTATCCAAATCATAGCTCACAGTGCTTTGGTATAATTTGTTTGAGATTTAAGATGGCAGGCAACATTGAACAAGTAAAAACATTTCGAGAACTTGTTGCAAGATTATAGGAATCAAAAAAAATAAAATATTTTTACCAGCGTTTCAACTTTCTAACAACAAAGAAGATCTGAAGAAAATTCTATTCGATTGGTAGATTTAACTGTTTAATTATTAAGGCAATCTAATTTCAATTTTAATTCTACAATGACATGCCTTCTAATTCTATTAAAATTAGTCAAACACGAGTTAATGGAAGTCAATTGCTTTGACATTTCATGACCACGAAACAGCAAATCGCTGATGGCCTTCAAGTAAATGGCAGAGAAAATGTTTTTGTAATTTTTACTCCTCGCTGATCAATCAATGTTTGCAATAAATAAACATAACAAGGAGTTGACATTGAAGGACTTGGGTGACATTGTGGCTATGTTGATCTATGCATATTTGATCGATTTCAATGCAAGGTAAGTTCATAATTTGACCATAAATCTTGTAAATGAAGTGCAAACAAAAAACTGATTGACAAGTTGATAGAGCCAGAAAAAGCCACTATTTAATTTTTATACGTTTGTAAAGGCTTGCCTTCGTAAATATGTTGATCTTATTTTTATTGTCTATTTTCAATGTATCGTCATCATCGGTTCATCAGTGTGCATGCTTCATGCATACCCAATGCCAAGGACTGAATATAACTACATACCATCTTTGTTTTTATTCGATCAATTCAGTGATATATAGCTATCAGGCAAAGATTGGAAAAAATGATCATTCTTTCTTCTTTTCGACTTTCTTAATCACCGCCATACTGAATCAGTCATCCAATCAAATGTCGAGTCAATATTGACTAATAGAACAACTTTTACGTTTGATTAACCATGAACGAACAAGACATTGGTTTATTAAATAATTGATGCAAATGGATTAACAGTAAAAGCTTCTTAACGACTAAGGAATGTACTTTATGTCAATCATATGACTGAATGTTCAAAGAACTAGACTATTTTCTCAAAAAATACGAAAAGACTTTTATAAGACTTAAGAATTCAACTATCATGTCTTGCGTGAGATTAGTCCCTGTATAAATACGAACTTTGACCACAACAAAAATGGCTCAGCTGAAATATTACTATGATTTGATGTCGCAGCCTTCAAGAGCTGTGTACATCTTTCTGAAAGCAAATAAAATTCCCTTTCAAGATAAACCTGTTGCTTTAAGAAAAGGTAAACAAAATAGTAATATTGGGATATGTGTCATTCTATATGGGAGACGATATCTTGTTTGAAATCCAGACTATTATGTAGGGCTAGTCCGAAACATCTGCCTCTGTTCCAGCCTCTGATGGATATTTTGACAGTTGTCGGCTTTAGTGGAGTCAGAAGAAAAAGACCCTGTTAAAAGGGGCTCTTCCAGAGATTCGTTTTCTGTAACATGATATTGAATTACCATTAAGATGATTGTAAATTAGTGTTGGACATTACCGTAACTTTCGTTTTATTAGTATCACACGACTCTGTGACCTTTGGCTTTGAACTTTTGGCTGCGCACTCAGTTTTAGATAGACTATGCTAGATCAGTTTCGCCTTAAAGAAATTTGATGGAACCGGAGACATGACAAAATAGTATGGGGAGAAAATGATGTTATGACTGAACTACAAAAATATTAATCTTTCCAAATATACCTGGGTTATGCAGATCTGAAGTATCTAAATAAGTTTAAAACCTGTGGAGATGTGAAAATGTACCCATTTAACAGGGCCTATTTTTTCTGTCTCTACACCAGCTGACATCTGTCCAAATAGCTATCAGAGGCTGGAATAGAGACAGATGTTTCTGTCTAGTGTAGGGTCCGGCTAATATAGGCTCTATAGCAAGTCCTTTGCCAAAGTAAAAATAAAAGTAAAATATTCAACAAGAAATAAACTAACGAAATAAATAATTCATTTTGTTTGCTGGCCATCCAGGTACACAACAACTCTTCGGCGTAGCGAAAAAGCTGGTTGTTTCACCATTATGTACAATCAATGAGGACAAGACGTCAAATTTGACATCTTTCCCCCAAACAAAGATGGCGGCCTTGTTTACAAAATATCACGTGATAATTGCCGGGATGTCCAACTTCGAGAATAGGTTATTTTTAATCAATATTCCAGCGAACTCTCCAGAGACTCACACATAGAGTTCAAGTATCATTCTAGGATAGCCAAAATCATCGACTGCTTTGACAAAAGGAAAAATGTGAAATATTCTAGAATTAACCCAATAATTAACGAGTTATTACTAAATTAAGAACCATGTGAACTCTCCAAGGAGACCGAATTTACAAAGTCAGTCACAGAGTTCGATTGCAAGAACTGTCTTACTTGGGTTTATATCATTGCAATGAGTTCGAATTCACAAGAAATAGATTTGGTTCAAAGGTCAAGTGTGAAAGACAATTTTTGCTTTTTTTAGGTGAACATTTCAGTGAAGACTTTAAGAAACTCAACCCCATGTCTAAAGTTCCATTTGTTGATGATAATGGTTTCATTTTGACTGAGAGGTTAGTACCTGAATATTTTCTTTATATGGATAGGTGCGGCATTTTTGTGAGCAACCATACCTTAGTCACAGAACTTGACACTTTTAGCTGGTGTTAGTAATAGTGTTCACAGTTCACTGTTGAAATATGATCCTTCAAATCTTAAACGTTAAAAGCCAACTCGTCATTTTAAGATACCGTTCTCTGTGATATAATGAAAAGACAAATAAAATATAGAGGGTAAAATTCCTAGCTTAAGTTATTTTTCGTACATTTCTATTACTTTTGAAGACTATCTGCATGTATTCAAGACCCAAATCACCTGTCCCTTTAAAGCAGTGGTTCCCAACTTTTCGCAGCCTTCACACCCCTAGAGCAATCACCGGGACCTTTCACACCCCCAAAAATTTCTTTCATCCACATTTTCAGCATGTAATGATGTGAGGTGCTCTTTCAATTCAAAACAAATTCTTTTCCAACACCAGTTGGTCACACCACTGACACCCTAGTCCCACACCCCTAGGGGGTAAAAATACCCCAGGTTGGAACTGGGGCTTTAGATCAAGTTAAAAAAGAAAATATTTATTTATTATTTATGTATCTCTTCATTTTATCTTTTTTTGTATTCTATCAGTTTATTGAAGTCAGAATCAATCTAAATACCATTCAGTAAACATTCTATTGAAGTCTCAATGATCATCTCCTGCCCTGTATCTTGCCAGCCCTCTCCCTAATTTCACAATTCTTACAGACAATTGTTTCAAGGAGTATCAAACAATTCCTTTAAACTATCAGACAGTTTCAGGTATTTTCATGTACTACACTTGATCAAACATGTAAGAACTCAACTTTCAACAAGTCATAAATATTTTATAGATTGACTGAACCAGAACCATGACAGTCAATTTAAAAACCCCTACACCATGAAAAATACCCTGAAACAAAGGTCTAATAATCTGGGTCCAAAGCCCCACAAATATATAAGAAATTCATTTCTCTAATATACAGTACACTACTTACGTCAAATTAGTTGTTATATATTTTCGGTGTAGCTATATTAAAGTATCTATTTGGTTGTTATATATTTTCAGTGTAGCTATATTAAAGTATCTATTTAGTTGTTATATATTTTCAGTGTAGCTGTATTAAAGTATCTATTTGGTTGTTATATATTTTCAGTGTAGCTATATTAATGTATCTATTTAGTTGTTATATATTTTCAGTGTAGCTATATTAATGTATCTATTTAGTTGTTATATATTTTCAGTGTAGCTATATTAAAGTATCTATTTAGTTGTTATATATTTTCAGTGTAGCTATATTAAAGTATCTATTTAGTTGTTATATATTTTCAGTGTAGCTATATTAAAGTATCTATTTGGTTGTTTTATATTTTCAGTGTAGCTATATTAAAGTATCTATTTGGTTGTTATATATTTTCGGTGTAGCTATATTAAAGTATCTATTTGGTTGTTTTATATTTTCGGTGTAGCTATATTAAAGTATCTTTTTAGTTGTTATATATTTTCGGTGTAGCTATATTAAAGTATCTATTTGATTGTTATATATTTTCGGTGTAGCTATATTAAAGTATCTATTTGGTTGTTATATATTTTCGGTGTAGCTATATTAAAGTATCTATTTGGTTGTTATATATTTTCAGTGTAGCTATATTAAAGTATCTATTTAGTTGTTATATATTATCAGTGTAGCTATATTAATGTATCTATTTAGTTGTTATATATTTTCAGTGTAGCTATATTAAAGTATCTATTTAGTTGTTATATATTTTCAGTGTATCTATATTAAAGTATCTATTTAGTTGTTATATATTTTCAGTGTAGCTGTATTAAAGTATCTATTTGGTTGTTATATATTTTCAGTGTAGCTATATTAAAGTATCTATTTGGTTGTTTTATATTTTCAGTGTAGCTATATTAAAGTATCTATTTAGTTGTTATATATTTTCAGTGTATCTATATTAAAGTATCTATTTGGTTGTTATATATTATCAGTGTAGCTATATTAAAGTATCTATTTGGTTGTTATATATTTTCAGTGTAGCTATATTAAAGTATCTATTTGGTTGTTATATATTTTCAGTGTAGCTATATTAAAGTATCTATTTAGCTTGTTATATATTTTCGGTGTAGCTATATTAAAGTATCTATTTAGTTGTTATATATTTTCAGTGTAGCTATATTAAAGTATCTATTTGGTTGTTATATATTTTCAGTGTAGCTATATTAAAGTATCTATTTAGTTGTTATATATTTTCAGTGTAGCTATATTAAAGTATCTATTTGATTGTTATATATTTTCAGTGTAGCTATATTAAAGTATCTATTTAGTTGTTATATATTTTCAGTGTAGCTATATTAAAGTATCTATTTAGTTGTTATATATTTTCAGTGTAGCTGTATTAAAGTATCTATTTGGTTGTTATATATTATCAGTGTAGCTATATTAATGTATCTATTTGGTTGTTATATATTTTCAGTGTAGCTATATTAAAGTATCTATTTAGTTGTTATATATTTTCGGTGTAGCTATATTAAAGTATCTATTTAGTTGTTATATATTTTCAGTGTAGCTATATTAAAGTATCTATTTGGTTGTTATATATTTTCAGTGTAGCTATATTAAAGTATCTATTTGGTTGTTATATATTTTCAGTGTAGCTGTATTAAAGTATCTATTTGGTTGTTATATATTTTCAGTGTATCTATATTAATATATCTATTTGGTTGTTACATATTATCAGTGTAGCTATATTAAAGTATCTATTTGGTTGTTATATATTTTCAGTGTAGCTATATTAAAGTATCTATTTGGTTGTTATATATTTTCAGTGTAGCTATATTAAAGTATCTATTTAGTTTTTATATATTTTCAGTGTAGCTATATTAATGTATCTATTTAGTTGTTATATATTTTCAGTGTAGCTATATTAAAGTACGGTATCTATTTGGTTGTTATATATTTTCAGTGTAGCTATATTAAAGTATCTATTTGGTTGTTATATATTTTCAGTGTAGCTATATTAATGTATCTATTTGGTTGTTATATATTTTCAGTGTAGCTATATTAAAGTATCTATTTGATTGTTATATATTTTCGGTGTAGCTATATTAAAGTATCTATTTAGTTGTTATATATTTTCGGTGTAGCTATATTAAAGTATCTATTTAGTTGTTATATATTTTCAGTGTAGCTATATTAATGTATCTATTTAGTTGTTATATATTTTCAGTGTAGCTATATTAAAGTATCTATTTGGTTGTTATATATTTTCAGTGTAGCTATATTGATGTATCTATTTGGTTGTTATATATTTTCAGTGTAGCTATATTAAAGTATTTATTTGGTTGTTATATATTTTCAGTGTAGCTATATTAAAGTATTTATGTAGTAAATATAAAGTGAAAGATCACTGGTATCCTCAGTCTGATGTGAAAAAGGTAGCCAGAGTAGACGAATATTTGAACTGGCAGCACACAAATACTAGATTAAACGCTGCTTTAGTCTTTCAACATTTGGTGAGTTGGAATCTTCTCCAGGCAATAGAACACTTTCATATAGAAGACAAATCGGCTCAAAATTCAATGTTCTTACTTCTTAATGGCGATGTTGTAATTGATAATTCCTGATTTCAATTTAATAATTCTTTTTTCTTTAGCTAAGCTGGAAATTTATTTTAAAAAAATCATCCGCCAAAATCTTAATTTGAAGTTGAGAGCTGTCGTAATTTTAGTATTAGATTTTTTGTTGATCGGTCTTCTTTTTAATTTAAAGTGTGGTACAGTCATTAGAATTTTTGTAACTCTGAAAAGGCCGTAGACCGAAATATCTTTCTCTTACAGCCTCTGATAGCTATTTGGACAGATGTCAGCTAGTGTAGAAACAGAAAAAATAGGCCCTGTTAAATGGAGACATTCCGCATCTCCGCATGTGCGACTGTTTTAAACCTATTTAGATCTTTCGGGTCTGCAAAACCCAGGTATATTTGGAAAGATGAATATTTTTGTAATTCATTCATATCATCATTTTCTACCTACACCATTTATGTCATGTTTCCGGCTCCATCAAAGTTTATTTCTCGAAACTGATCTAGCATCGACCATTTAAAACTAGCGCACCTATTGTTCTTATCTTATTCGTACCGTTATTAGCAGCCATAGAGAACACGCATCGTGACGATGCAAATAGCCAGTGCGTTCCGAAAATTGACTGCAAAATACTTTAAGTTAAAGATGGGTTTCCATAATTGTCAAATTAAGCAAATTGTTTGATTAATTGGTGTTTCTTATGAATTATCGTGTATTCCTAATCATATCATTATGTTCTTGTTGCATATGATTAAGAACCCATCTTTAAGATAGTCAGATAAGTTAATAAAATAACTTAGGACTTTTGTCTATAATTTGTTTTAATAGGAGCACCCAACTTTCTTATTCTTCAAAAAACGACATTTGGAAGAGAGAAATAGAAATAATAAACACAAGACAATATTATAGAATTAACACACTTTCATTAAAGAAGTGTGCTTATTCTATATTATTGTCTTACGTTTGTTATTTAACACTACTATGAAAACAAAAAAAACTGCCTCTTTCAGAAGACAATAAAAGAGACAAAAAGAAAGTCCCATATTAATTGCTTGTTGAGAATGTGAATATGTATAATTTATGAAAACATTTCAAAGATTGTCAACCATATTGTCTGTCTAGCTTGTATTGATTTTGAAATAACAATCTTCAATCTTCCAATCTTGTTTAAAATCATTTAGGTGTGTATTTTTTTATGAATTCCATTGCATGTTAAAGATTCCTTGACAGTTTGAACCGTTTGAATGTATGATGCCTATTGTCCCTGGCAACAAGAGAAACAAGATATGAGTAATTGCATTATGTTACCTGTATTCAAAAACTAAAACAGGAGCAGAAAATAGTAGGGAGCACAGAATTGGGTTGTGGGGTGCTTGTCACTTGGCATTTACATGAAATGAAATGGAATTTTACGTCCTACTTTTCATTTGCACCAATTGGGCCAATGAAGGGTAAACTAACCTGTCTCACGACGGTCTAACCCCAGCTCACGTTCCGTGTTGGTGGGTGAACAATCCAACGCTTGGCGAATTCTGCTTCGCAATGATAGGAAGAGCCGACATCGAAGGATCAATCAATTCAACGCCAGGAAAGGTACAATAAGGGAATGCCAGGACAGCTTGCCCTTTTTCGATTTCCAAAGGGACCTTTAGCGTGCACAGCCTGTCACCTGGGTTTATTGTCCCATCCGAACAACTACACGCTTTTTCCACGTGAGCCCAGTTAACCTGCATCACTAACTCTGGGGAAACCGGGTTGAAAAATCCTTCAGGTTAGCGAGTACTGGGCCATGGCGGCCCCCACTTCACATTTAAGATCTCGTTGATAATTTAAGCCACTGGAATGTAAGGCATAGATTTCATTTTAATTCGGCTGATATGCCTCTTAATATTGATCTTAGTCAAGGCTAAACCAATTTCTTTCTTGATTTCCCTCCTGTCTTTGCAGATTTATCAAAGACAGGAGGCAAAATTTTCTGAAAACTAGGATAGACCTGGATTTCCTTGCTTTCTCAATATTGGCCTTATCTAAAATTGAAATACTATTTCTCATTGCAGTTAATACTACCAAAAATGACAGGCAAAGGTGTGAATGAGAATCAACTAAATAAATTCAAAAAAGGTGTAAAAGAAACGGTGTCCTCTCTTGACAGATATTATCTGAATGGAAAACCTTATCTCTGTGGTGATGATATTTCTATTGCTGATATCTTAGGTGCTTGTGAATTGATGCAGCTTAGAGCCGTCCACGAGGAACATCTATACACAGAGAACCCTACAGTACTGGCATGGATGGGGCGAGTCCGTGAAAAACTTAATCCTGAATTCGACTCGGCTCATAAATTTATTGAACGAACCAGAGATGTATATCCTCACATTAAAGCAAATTTATAAATATATATATTATAAACATTTATTAAGAATCATATACCCACTGCTAGCTTTCATTGGTGGCGCCACCAGTTTGCCTGGTAGCGCTATGGCAACCTCAAGGATATAAGAGAGTTCACCCCAGAAAAATAAAATAGTTTGACTCTGGACTCTTTATTTTTAGCAAAACACAGATAAAATCATATTTCTTGGAAATGAAGTGGAGGCACAACGGGAGGTGAAAACGGTTTTTTGTTTAGAGAAAATACCCAATGTAGCCCCATCGGCGTGGCCATTTATCAGAAGAAATAATCACATATGTTGAGTTTGCAAGATGGCATTTAATTTTACAGGTAGATTTGGTTGGATATAACATGATTAGATGAAGTTTATATTGATTTTTTTATATCGAATATTCAAATCTAATATTCAACAATCAATACACAATGTCAAGCTATTACAAACTTCATCTTCACAATGTCAAGCTATTACAAACTTCATCTTCACAATGTCAAACTATTACATACTTCATCATCACAATGTCAAGCTATTACAACCTTCGTCTTCACAACGTCAAGCTATTACAAACTACATCTTCACAATGTCAAGCTATTACAACCTTCGTCTTCACAATGTCAAGCTATTACTAACTTCATCTTCACAATGTCAAGCTATTACAAACTTCATCTTCACAATGTCAAGCTATTACTAACTTCATCTTCACAATGTCAAGCTATTACTAACTTCATCTTCACAATGTCAAGCTATTACAAACTTCATCTTCACAATGTCAAGATATTATAAACTTCATCTTCACAATGTCAAGCTATTACTAACATGTCATTTCACTTTTGCAACATATCACGTGATGACGTGATTCTGGTAATTTAAATATCAGAAGCTGGTCATTCCGGACTACGAGCATTATTTCAAAAGAAAAAATATTATAATCTAACATAGGCTCTATCTGTGAACATGTGTGCTTTTTATGTGTAGCACATGATAATGTGGAGGAGAGATCTTTCGTCAGAAAGTATTGTTATTTTCTTACATACATGTGGCTATTGTGAAATATTAATGCGGAACAATTGCTAATTCGAAACAAGAAAGATTATTGATTAGAGAAAGTTTTTAGTGTAGATTTTTCTTATTAAATTTTACATAATAGAAATAAACTCATGCAACGACTCATGAGATTTCTTATTTTCTTTAAGCCCGACATCAACGACACTCGCGGTACCAGAAAGAGTCAGTCGAATGTGCATTGATGTAAATAGGTTGAAAAGAGGGTTTCTAGCTTTTTCTCTATAAGGGGGCCTAACAATGGCTTTTATTTGCATCATTCCAATTTTTCAGTAGATGTCTGTAAGTGTAGAAATGCAAAATCTGATACATATAGCAAAGTTATAAAACCACTTACAACCCCTTATCTTATATCTGGTGTTGGATATCAACCAAATGGCATGCCTGAGACACGAAGAAAACTGACTTGTACCTATTCAAAAAGGACATAGCATGTCAGAGCCAGAAGACAAAACTGACATGTTCGTATTCAAATTGCAGAAGAAAACCGACATGTACGTATTCAAAAAGGAAATAGCATGTCAAAAACTGACATGTTCCTATCCAAATTGCAAAAGAAAACCGACATGTACCTATTCAAATTGCGGGAACAAACCGACATGTACCTTTTTAAATTGAGGGAGCAAACCGACATGTACCTTTTTAAATTGCGGGAGCAAACCGACATGTACCTTTTTAAATTGCGGGAGCAAACCGACATGTACGTTTTTAAATTGCGGGAGCAAACCGACATGTACTTTTTTTAAAAGGAAATAGCATGTCCGAGCCATAAGAAAAAACCGACATGTAACTATCCAAATTGCAGAAGAAAACCCACATGTACCTTTTCAAATTATAAATTGCAAGTTTGATTTAAAAGAAGAAAAAACCGACATGTACCCATTCTAATTGCAGAAGAAAAACCGACATGTACCTATTCATATTGCAGAAGAAAAACCGACATGTACCCATTCTAATTGCAGAAGAAAAACCGACATGTACCTATTCATATTGCAGAAGAAAAACCGACATGTACCCATTCTAATTGCAGAAGAAAACCGACATGCACCTATTCTATTCAATTTCAAATCAGGTCCAAATCGCACGAAGAAAAAGGACATTAATCTTTTAGTTTGTCGCCTATACTGAATGGAATAATGACGTATAAGATCTGTAAAGACCTTATCTTTTATATCTCAAACGGGAGTCATTGTATACCAGACTTATTGATGCCGAGGTATTTAATTGGGAATAATAAACAACAGTATCTTCAAAATTAGAATCTCGGGAGAATTGACACAATCGGGCGATATAATTGCATTCAAGAACATCGTCTCGCTTCATCAGGCCATTAAGATAAAACTTTAGTCTCATACATTTTCTAGTTTTAAATATTTAATAACAGTCTCTTTATTTCACTGTCAAGCCCCAGAGAATCCGCGTCTACATAATAAAGGTTTGTTTCTGTGGTGCTGACGTCTTGTCGATGCAGAAAGAAAAAATAACAAGTATTCCAATAAACAAACTTGTTTAGAACATTGAAACAGTTCTGGCTATCCGCACGTGAAATACGGAAGGGATTATTACACTATAACTTGAAAGATCGTAAGTTAGATAGCTTGTGATACTTTTTTAGTAATTGTACAGGGACTCATTGCAGAAATTTCATCTGAAAGAGGTTTTTCAGTATTTTTTTTTTAAATTTGTATCCAGGATTTTTTCAGCTTGTATCATTCCATTTATCAGTCAGATGCTCGTGGTTCCCTTAGTTATAGAAATGCTCAATGGGAGACAGATTTACCATTTTTGTGGATTGATTCGGGTCTTGAATTTTTGTGAATTGTCTTCAGAAGTACTGAAATATACGGTGGCTCACATACGACATAATTTTGAATTAAAAACTTTAATTTTCACCTAGGTGATAATTCAACAAATCTTGTAAAGAACATCCTGTTTCTGAGATTATGGCACGATTGGTCAAACAGGTTGCAAACCTATCCCTTCAGTCATAAATGAAATATTTTATTTATTGTGAACTACATTGCATTGGTTGTTATCAGTAGCCTAACAGAAAGGCAGGGCGTAAAATAATCATATCATTCTCGTTTTTCCCAGTGGCCCAACTACCCAAATGACTGGTTGAACCAAGTCCACGGGCCACAACCCTAAAAATAAAATTATTAACGGCATTAAAATGACTTAAAGATGAACCTCAGAATGCAAGAAAGAACATGTTAAAAATATTCCCAGGGAGAGGGCCTCAACCTACCAAAGTCCTCGACCCTGACTCAGCTGAGCCACTGGCTTGTATGTAATATATATGAATCTTTATTTATAGGCTATGAAAACAAGATGAAAGCCTTGTTGTTAACACTATTAATCAGTAAGTTATTATGGCTTTTTTAAAAACTACCAATTTCAATCATAATTTTGTGGGGTTTTTGGATTTCCTATATAATATTTGTTAAGAAGATTTTTTATATTGATTTATCAATAATACCAAAATGGATACTTCTCCAAATCCAGATTATCAACAACCGGGGGAATATTTCTTATAGACAAACAATTATATTTTTACTTCCTGTGCCGGTGCTTTCGTGACAATTTGATTTGACATTCTTGTTTCTGACTATCCCTTTAACACATATCTTAACCTTTCGTTTAAAAACATCTTCTTTTTATCACGTTCAATAAGATTTTGTCAGACGTTGTTAGAAGTTGAGCAGACAATAAACATCCGAATATGTAGTAAAAACAATATTTTTTTTATCAGAGCTATTGATTGGCAGTGGCAGAGCCAGATCCGAGGGGCGAAATATATCTGAGATTTCCCGAATCTCTAACATACTTATGTGATTTTTGCTCGAAAAACTTGCTTTTGGGGCTGCGAGGGGCTGCCCCCCTTTGGCTCCGCCACTGTTGCTTGGTGGAAAATATTATTTGAATCGGAACATGAGATGCGTGACATTTTCGTCAGATCACGGATAATGCGTGGAGTCACCAACAGAAAACATTACGAAACGAAACATTGAGATTAACATTATTATTACATACTTTAATTTAAAATAGAGGTCACCAGTTGCGAAGGGTTGCGAATAAAATTAACTGTCATAAGTTTCGAATGTAACTTTCATGCAATTGGGTTGTGAGTTGCGTTCGTTACTCACGCCAACTTTTATTATTCGCAACCATACGCAACTAGTATTCGCTATGACACCTGTAGGCCGAATGATCTGATTCTATAATTTATTAGGTTGCTTGAACACTGATATTTGTTATGGATCAAATGGACATATTAACTTTGGTACCGCCAGCACCACCCCTAGCTGCGTTAAACTCAACATATCAGTTGAGACACCCATCGGAAGTTTGGTGTTTTCTGATAGTAGTAGTGAAACTTTATCAACAAGTTTATCAGATACAAGTTCAGTATTGATAGCGCCACGGACTGGTTCAACCTGGCCCGGCCTACTAAACATGAAGATTGGAACACCTGTAGATGGCACTGAAAAGAGCCTCGTGCTAACTGGAGGGGAGGTAAATACAGACTTCTATATCCCCCTGGGTGCATTAACAACTATTACTGGTCAGCTGAAAACTGATACTAATATTTATTTCATGGCCGATTATGATAGTCAGATATTGGTGAAACACGACTGTACCACTTCCAACTCATTTTCTCTAAAACACACCTTCAACACGGCTGGTCATTACACCCTAAACGTTCACGGATCCAACTTTAACCCAGCCGCATCTGATTCTAGCGTCGACCTCCGTGTAGCATCACCGCTAAATGGTATTACGCTAGCAGCAAACAGTGTCATACTGGATTCAGGAGAATACCTTGTTTTTAATATTGAAATAAGCGGTAGTATTATCAACCCGATTGCTGATTTAAAAGTTTTCCTAACATGTGAGTCAACAGTGGAAATCATCACTGTTTCTACTACAAAATCATCAACACAATCTTGTACCTACAACAACCCTGGTTTTTACTCACCTCAACTTAAATTCACTGATGCTTTTGAGAATGAATTACTTTCTACGCCGGAGGTGTCCGTTAACGAGCCATGTACCCTTAACACCGGTCCTTACTATTA